AGAAAAATAAGATCAAAATATTGAAAACTTTGAGTATTTGTTTCAGGGAAAAGAATTGAATGAAACCAGACTATGTCTTTGCCCATTTATAACTTAGGTAATACAGATGAATTATTCATAATCATATGATTCCTATGTTTTATTCTTGAGTACTTGGAAAACATAATTTTGCTTTCCACATATACAAAATAAAATTATGAAAGGTAAAAAAAATAATTAAAGAGAAGAAACAGACAAGATTCTCAAATTTTCTAGTACCACCTTTAAGGGCTCTTAAAGTTTGGTTAGGAAACCTTGCAAAACTTGCATAAGTCCTCTGTGAGCTTTAAGATTTTTTTTCCATTCTTGATCAGGTCTTACTTGTTTTTGCCTCTTAATTAAGTGAGTATCCACAAAGGACACTGTTTTCAATATTTGTTGTATTGAGCTTAACAACACAAGAAAGCTATGGAAGTAAAACAGGTCATTTTAAAGCCATCCCATAGTTCACAATCAAGGGTACAAGACTGTCATCCCATATAAATTGGTATCATCATACTTTGAGAACCTTCCTGGAAAATAACATTTGTAGATCTCTCAGACTTTAAATAAATCTCTTTGAGACCAAGAATAGCGTAGCATATAAAAATTATTCCCAAAGGAGATTTCCTTCCAGAAACTTGAAAAGGGAGATTTAGTAAGGCTTTTTGGAATCACTCTTATGAAAAATTAGTTAATAGGTTCCCAGCTTTATAAATGCACTACAAGCTTAGGAAGCATGACTGACAGCAAGAGGACCCTAGCAAGTAAGAGGTCCAGATTTTATCTTAGTATTAGAAAATGCTAAAACCACTCCAGGACTCTAAGACTGTCAATGTTATAGACAAATACCTCATATTTTTGTTTGTAGAATGTCAGCTAGTTTCTTTGAGCATTAGAGATAGCGTGACATAGTGAACAGAGCTCTGGACTAAGAATTTAGGAAGACCAGGAAGGAAGATATGAAGGAAGCAAGAAAGGAAGGAAAGGAGGGAGGAACTAAATGAGGGAAGGGGAGTAAAGGATGGAAGAAAGAAAGGAGGGAAGGGAAGAGAAGGAAGGAAAGAAATCAACATTTCGATATGTCAGGCACTGTGCTAAGTACTTTACAGATATTATCTCATTTGATCATCATGACAACCTTGGGAGGCAGGTGTGATTATCTCCATTTTACGGTTGAAGAAATGGAGGGAGACAGAGGGACTTGCCCAAGTGACTTGCCTAGAGTCACAGAGCTGGTAGGTATCTAAGGCTGGATTTGGGCTCCGGTGTTTCTGACTCCAGCCCAGCACTCCATCCACTGTGTTAGTACCTGTGTAATTTTGGCAGGTCATTTCATATCTCTGACCTAAGTTTCCACAATCTATAAAATGGGAATAATAATAGCACCTCATTCACAGGGTTGCTGTAAGGATCAAATCAGAGAATATGTGTAAAGTGCTTTGCAAGCCTTAAAATGCTATTAAAAAAAAGAGTTATTTGAATGAGCTTTTGTTTTTTTTTTTAAGTGAAACCCAGTCCTGTAAGGATTCTTTTGGTGATGATCACTTTTCTACCATCTTTCCTACATCATAACTTTCTACAGTCAGAAATAATAAAGAGGAAAACTTACAGATCTAGCTAGCAACTATGAGAAGCAAGGTTTTAGTGTAGAATATGGATAAAATGTTCCTTCTCCCAGGAATATGATATTTCTTTTTCATGAAAGCTCTTCCTGGCCTCTTTTTATCTTGACGATATCTACCAGGCTTTAGCCCTTCCCATATTTCCTTTCTAAATGACAGGCAATTCACTAGGGTAGTGGCATCAAACTCAGATAGAAACAGATCCCTGCCTGTTGTGTATTGACTTAGAAAACAACAAAGTAACATTATGTTGTGTTGTAGTTTTATTTATTTTGTTAAACATTTCCCAGTTACATTTCAGTGTGGTTCAGGCCACAGTAAGAACTAAGAATGTTTGGCCATAAGCTCTGATTTTGACATCTCTGCTCTAGGGTATCCCACTTCTGTCACTGTTTACTTTCATTGTAAGAGTCTTGGCCTAGCTTGGCACATCCTGTGCATGCTCAATATAAGCATTCAGCTTGTAGTAATAATCTTTCTTTCATATCGAGTGATTTTGTTCACCATATTATTATTCCAGAACTTGTGGGGCTGGAGACTATGATATTGCTGTGAATTTCTGGGGCTTCTCATTGATGTCTGGTTCCTGTTGTGTCAGTGCCATTTATCCTTTCTCCACCTTATATTCCCAGAGATAAAAGTCTTAGGAAAAATAATTAGGCTATGCTTTTCTACCTGAGAACACTGAAACTAGCCAGGCTATTTCTAAATCTATAGAGACCAGTCTACTTTCAACCAGGAGTACCCCTATCCTTCTTTTTCTATTCCTGAAAGGTTTAACCTTCTAGCTACCATGGCATTGATCATTTGATTTAGGCAATGACTGCATAAAAGAAAGAAAAATAAATATCCATTATTACATATGCTGTGTAATCCATGGGAAAGATGCAGAATGCTAGGGAGTAGAGAGGGTGGTATCAACTTGTAGTAGGAGAAATGGGCATAGTAAACACTGCATAAATGACAGTTTCAGGATAAAAAATGGCCGAGAGACAGTTTTTAGAAGTATAAAGGAAAGAAACGAACACCTAACTGGAGCAAAGGGAAGAAGCAGAGTAGTAAAATGGGACAAGGTGGTTATATGGGATGAAAATCCAAATTGCATTTGAAAGGCAACCTTTTTTTTTTCTTTTTTTTAGTTTCTGTGCAGAATATACTTTGGGCCATGGTAATTCTGAAAATATGAAAGGTGATTTGTTCTCTGAATTGGAGGTGCATGGTTGTATGCCCTTGAAAAGCACTAATGAAAATAAAGTTATGATAACAAACATGCTCCTTGATTACCCACCATATCTTGCATGCTTTCAACTAAGAAATTGGCATTTACAAAAAAAGGACATTTGTTTCAGAATAAAAATATTTAATATTGTGGAAACTTGCTATAGCTTCGTGCTATTCTAACTAATTGCCATTTTCAAAGGAACAAGGCTTTAATTGGTGATGGAGCCAGATAACCCTTTGCACACAATTTGCTTATATGCTTTGTCTAATAGTAAAGCATGACATCCTTTAATGTCATTTACGACAGTAGCCAAACCTTTATAATGCCTGTCACTTGTTGCATATCTCAGTTCTGTATGAATACAATGATGTATTCTGATTGAATACAATGTGGTGAGCATTTTATTAAATATCAACATCTGCATTGGTAAGCAAGAGTATGATCATCTGGGAGTCCCCCGTATAGTTAAATCACAGGTCTAGTCCCTGTCTCTGTGTCTACATTTTAAGAAGTTTTGATATCTGTGCTAATAAATGGAAATATTTGTTCCATCTTTTTTGTTGTGACACTTGCTTCATCACAGAGGGAAAAAGACGTTCTGCTTCAGAAGACTTTAGATATTTTTCTAAAGTGAAGACACTAGTTGTAGATATTGGTGTTCTTGCTTGTAACTCTTTTGGAAGAAGCCATATCCCACCTGTCCTTCCTCATTTTATCTGAATACCTCATAGTGTTAGGTAAGACCTCAAAACCAGCCACTTTGGTTATCCTGTGGCCATCAAGGACAAACCTGCCTTTTGACTCCATGATCCGGTGAAAACAGAGCTGGATTCTTAACGAGAAGACCTGCATTTGAGTCTCATCTCTGCCATTTTACTATCAGAATGGCCACAAGTGTCAGGCACCTTCTATTTTGCATCATCACAAAGTTTCAGAAGCAGATTCACCAAATATCCATGTGTTAGGATTGCACCAGACAGCACATGATATGCATGATTTAATTATTGTAGAAAATTGTTGCAGGCGTAGAAGAAAATGTGACAATTTTCCTCAAAACCAACCATATTGTTTCATTCTGAAATTGTTTGTTGACTTAGCACTCTGTCTACATTGCCAGATCTTTCTTTGCAAAGATGTACATTATTATATGGAGGTGTTGGTATTAAAGAAAAATGAATTTAAAAAGAATTTATTAGGCACTTACCTATATGCAACGCACTGTGCTAAGTTCTGGGGATACAAATAAGATACATGTAAGACAGCTGCTACTCTCAAGGGGTTGTCACTTTAGTGGGTGAGGCAGGACAGAGTAAAGGTTTCATTTACAAGTCAAGTAGAAAGGAGCAGTGGCCAGCACAGTGCTTCACTTTTCTCTCCTCCTGCATCGGGGGTGTTAAGATTATGTCTGGTGAGCAAGAGAAGAGGAAGGGAGGGGGAAAGAGAGTTATCAGTAGCTGCAGGAAGTTTCCAGAATGAATGAAGTTTATATGACAAATGGTCCAAATGGAAAATGAGGAAATGGATGGTCTCCTTTAGAATTTCTGGGGAAGGGAAACCCTATTTGACAACACAAGCTAAAAAACAAGACAGAAACTTTTAAAAAAAATTATTTAATGGGGAATGGGAGGGTTTGTTTTCTTTTGGTTTCTTCATTGTTGTTTTGGCCTGGTGCCATGATTCCATAGGTTAGCTATCTATAGCAATAATTCTATCTATCAGTCATATAGCATGTCTCTCAGAAATATTATGTAAGCTATGAGACCAGTTCTTAGAGCAATTTTGTGTGTGTGTGTGTGTGTGTGTGTGTGTGTGTGTGTGTATTCTGCAGAACAATTCTATGGTTCTTGTCAATGAAGATCAAACAACTACATTTCACAGACTTTTAAACTCTTAGGTCTGATGACTGCAGATCTTGTTCAGTACTCCAGGAAACCCTAGAGCAATTAAACAACACTCTTGATTGCCCTGAGCTCCACATGTTAGTCTCCTAATGTGATCAACATGGTGCCAGTTGCTATACATAAAAATGAATTTTTTTCCCTGAGAAATTAGGTGACAAATTAATAAGGGCAGACATGCCTGTTTCTTTTGTTGGAATGAAGTGTTTTAAACCTGAGGGTGTCTTCTTCTTTTAGGGCAGATCTTAAAAGCTCTAGATAAGAAGAAATTGACAAATAAGACAGTTGTGTACTTTACCTCTGACCAAGGAGCTCACATTGAAGAAGTGACCGACAAAGGAGACATCCATGGAGGGAGTAATGGAATTTATAAAGGTGAGAACCTGTTTTTGAAATGACCCTTTATGATCTAAACTTCCACTGAGTATACGTGTATGTTTACCTCATAGCAAACTTTAAAGTGACTTGGGTCCCTCGTGGCTATCTCTTTGCTCATTCCAATTGCACTTCTTTCTATCGGAAGTATCATGCAAGTCACGTGGTTATAACGACAGCTTCAGGGACCAGCAATGGGACAGAGTACGAAGAATCCTGCAGAAGAATTCAGGAGGCCTGAGTTCTCTAGTCCTAGTCTTCTAAAGACACTACTTAATGTAAATTTTCCAGATTCCTTTTCCTAATATGTAAAATGAGAGCTAATAAGATGAGTTAAACTCCATAGTCTACAAGTAGCTCTCAAAACTCCTGACTGTGGGCCTGAACAAGAATATAATGTAATTAGGAAATGTTTAACAAAAGTAAAAATATAATACAACATATAAGATGTTAATTTATGGTTTTCTAAGTCAATATGTGGCCTGCAGGCATTCATTTCTATTGGAGTTTGATGCCTCTGAGCTAAATGACTTCTAAGACCCCTCCTTCCAAGTGCTAACATTCTGTAATTATACTGGAATTTTTTAAAAAAGTGCTCAATAGTAGCATTAATCTTATCACAAAATTACATTGGTGATATGATTTTTCTTCCACAATGTAGCAAGTAAAGGTCCTTTCATATATTTTGGTAAGAAAAAAAACAACTTTGACACATGATTTTAACCTTAAGAAAACATTTTTGTCAAGTACCTTCTATAAAACTTAGCAGGAAGAAAAAGTGTACACTTGACCAAACTTTGTAAACAGTGTTATTAATACTGTCAATCCTTTTCCATATTCATGTGTTTCCAGAGATCTGTGGTCCATGAAACCTCTAAATATGGAAGCAGATTTCATTGTTTATAAAATTAGATGATCCCCTTTACAAGACAGCTCTGGAGGCCAGTTAGACATTTGCCAGGTGGTCTGTGGAGGAGTTTTGTTTTGTTTGTTTCAGGAGGAAGGTACAGAAGTTCAAAGTAGCAATTTTCTCTTACATCTGACAGTCCCAGTAGCCTGGCTTCATGGAGATTTGTCTAGTCTATAATGTGTAACACAGCTAATCCTGATAATATTTTTTTATTGTTATTTTTATTGAGGCTTCTTGTTGTTACATAACAGTTGTTCCTTAAAGTAATGGAACAGGGCAGGGTGATGTACCCTTCTCCCCATTAAAAAAAAAATAAAATAGTTATGTAAAACTGACCCATATGGAGAAACCATTAGATCACGTAGGCAACATTTTATCCTGTAGTCCTTCCCTTCTTCAGATATGGATTTCATCATCTGTTCTATTATAATTAATCTGAATTCAGGTGACTCTTAGTCACATTTTCCTTTACAGTATTACAGACATTGTGTATATTGTTCACCATGATTGTAATTTTTTTCCACTGATTTCTGCAAAGACCCTAACCTGTATAACTTGATTTTCCTATGAGGACTTGTGAATGACTGTTATTCTATTTGGATGTATGTAGGTGGAACTTTGTGTTGATACCTTCTTATTTTGAAACCGAGTAATTCAATTAAGATAAACAAACAAATGGAAAGAGCCTCCAATCTATATGTTTCTGTGGCCACATATTGACTTATTTTAAAAATGTAATGTTACCCATGTTTTGCTGCATTATAAAATGTTTTTGAATATTTCCTAATTACATGGAGCAGCTAGGTGATGCTAGATGGAGTTCTGGGTCTGGAATCAGCAAAGCTCAAATTCAGATCCAGTCTTAGCTACTTACTGCGGCCCCCAGGCAAGTCACTTAACTTCTGTTTGCTTTAGTTTCCTCATCTGTAAAATGGGGGAAATAATAGTACCTACTTCCCAGGGTTGTTGTGAGGATCAAATGAAATAATAATTTTAGAGTGCTTAGCATAGTACCTGGCATATAGGAGGTGCTATATAAATATTAGATATTATTGTGGTTTGGGTTGCATTAGTGTTTCAGAAGTATAGTGTGTTTAACACCTCTACTCAAGAGCATGACTAAAAGTAAATATCCTAGGCCTATTCTGATAAAGTTCTTCTTCTCCCAGGGCTCTGTGAGTATAAGTTTGATGCTCTAGATAATATCTTACGTACAATCTCAGGCTACTTTTTGTGCTTTATTCCTGGTATGATTTGTAAAAAATACCAATGGGTACTTCAGACTTATTTAGGTAGATATATTTTAAATGTCTTTGGGCATTCATATTCCTGTGCTATATGTACTAGTAATAAGTGACACTATATTAATCCACCAGAACTATTTGTAACTTCAGAGTTGTCCCTTTGTCAGGTTTTGTTGAAAGCAGCATGTCCATCAAGAGAAATTATTAGAAAACTTCCCACAATTCTGTTCTGGCCATAAGAAATGAGCAAGAGCAGCTAAATGTTGGAGCATCTAAATTTCTGTGCTCTGGATATTTTTTCAAAGCTGTTGTTTATGAGAACTCAAAGAGGAATTAAGCCACTTAACCCCCTTATCGGAAAAGCATTCCTTTACTGAACAACAATAATTTGTTCTGTTTTAAATCAAAAGCCCTTAAAAGATTCTTGTAACTTGAACTAACTTTCTCACCTTGTTCCACAGCCAAATCAGTTCCACTAATTCAGTACAAGAGCCATTTTGATGGAGTGGCTGGGTTTAAAGAGATAAACTGTGGGGGGAAAAGTAGGGGGGCACACGGTTCTTATTCGTATTGTAGAAGCCTTTTGTTCCAGTCACTGACTTTCACTTTGTGAGTTAGGATATGAAGGAGATATTTTGGGAAAGGGAAGGAAGGGGCAGTTACCAAGTTAAATCATTGGGTAAACTGACCTGGGAATGATCCTAGAATTAAGGGCTGTGTTTCTGCCTTTGTTTTATTTATTTTTTTGATGAGGCAGTCGGGGTTAAGTGACTTGCCCAGGGTCATAAAGCTAGTAAGTGTCAAGTGTTTTGGCCTCAGGCCAGATTTGAACTCAGGTATACCTGACTTCAGGGCCGATGCTCTATCCACTGTGCCACCTAGCTGCCCCTTACTGCCTTTATTTTATAAACAATCTGTGCTTGTAGCACCATTATCTTGTTTTGATGTAGGAAGGTGGAACTTTCTTCTTTGTCCCATACCTTTTATCCAGAAGGAGATTTCAAAATGAAAATAGATGCCATCTGGACAGTGATAATGACAGAAGAGGCAGTGTGACATTATAGAGTTCTAGACCTTAAATCTGAAAGACCTTGATTCAAATTCACCTTCTGACACTTATTAGCTGAGTGCTTCTAAAAGTCAGGCAGCCTTCTAAGGTTTATTTACAAAGTTACAGACAGGTATCAACCAGATCCTTTAATATTAGGCAGAAAGTTGAATTTATTTATATGTCCTATGCCAAGGATGATGTTAACAGTACATTTAAGTTCCCCTTGCAATCCTGAGGAATGAAAAGCAAGAATTTTATTTTTCATTATTTGTGTTTTGCCCTAGAATAGCATTAGGACTGGGAACAGGTATGCAGCGGGCACTTGTAAAAGCATCTTGTTTACTTGTCATTTTGGGTCTCAGACTGAGGCAAATGCCAGGGCAGGTGCATCCTGCTTTCAAGTGTGAGTCTTGAAGTGTCATCTTCAATTCAGTTCAACAAAGACTTATGAAGCATCAACTATCTGCCGTGAATTATGCTAGGTGTGATGATATGGAGACAAAAACAAGACCAGCCCTTCCTTCAGTGGACTTATATTCTAGTTGGGGGATATAATTGTATACAATTAAGTACATACAAAGCATATGCAAGTTAATACTAAGTAACTTCAAGAGGGAGAGACTGAAAAAATGGATTATGAAAATGGGCATAGTGTAAGAGGTGGTATTTGAGTTGTACCTTGAAAGAAACTAAAAATTCAAGTAGAAGGGAAAAGAGAGTGCATCTTAGACTTTGGGGGCAGCCTCTGCAAAGAAAGGCTGGAGGTCAAACTGTGTATAGAGAACACCTAACAGGCTTGTTTGGAATGGCAAATTGCCAAAAGGGAATAATGTGAAATATGACTCTTAGGGAAGAAATATGGAGGAAGGGGGTCAAACTTACTATTTTTCATAAGTGGGGAAGAAGTTCTGGAAGAAGAGTACATAAATATGGAGAAGTGGTAGAATGCTTTCATTCTTATCTGAACCAGACCAAGAAGAGTTGAAAACACACACACACACACACACACACGCATTCTTTGGTGTAGAAATACATTAAGTTCAACTGGGAAACAGGTATAGGAACAGGGTAGAGGAGTAAGGAGTTTAAGGAGAGAGTCAGGGAGGGAATATTTATAGGCAAAACACTTTACTTTCAGACAGTGGATCAGTAAAAAGAAAGAAATGGGTAGCATGGTGGTGCAGTAGTAGAGCGTCAGGCAGGAAGACTCATCTTGAGTTCAAATCCGACTTCAGACACTTACTAGCTGTGTGACCTCTGGCAAGTCATTTAACCCTGTTTGCCTCAGTTTACTCATCTACAAAATGAGCTGGAGGAGCAAATGACAAACCACTCCAGAAAACCCCAAATGGGGTCATGAAGAGGTGGAAACGACTGAAATGACTAGACAGCAAAGAGGAAAGAAAGAACAAGAACCTATGGTCTAGTCCGAGTAAAGGGAAGAGCTTAAGGGGCAATTGAGCAGAAGAAGATTGTTTCAATTAAGTATCACTAATGTTAAATATTCTTTTTCTTTCATCACCTTCCTTTTTGTAGAAAGAGGATAGAGGAGCCAAAGAGAATTCAAAGTATATGAGTATTTGGTAGATGAAAATATAAAATTGGTAATAATAGCAATGAATGTGGATGCAATAAATACACATACAGATTGAAGATAGGATGAATTAGAAAGGAGAATCCTACAATATACTTTTATAGGAAACGCAATTGAAACACAGATAAAATGAGAGGCTTGATCTTCAGATAAACTACAAAAAATGGGAATAACAATTATCTCAGGCAAGGCAACAGGAAA